AGAGCAGGGAAGGTTCTGCCCAACTTACTTTTGCCTCTTGTTCATTGAAAGTGTTTGTGCTGAACATCTGTGCCACGGTCTCAAAGGCAGCTGTGAGGGGAAGCATGAACTGCTCATACTGATCCTCATCTTCCCCTGGAAGGAAAAAACCCAAAGAAATCAGGAGGAAATAGACTGCATGTCCTTGTGCCCTGCAGTTCTGCCTGCACTACACCTCCAGTCACTGCTCCCCCACGGAGCTGGAGGCTCTGAGACCACAGGTTTCCAGACAGCTGATCTATCACTGCCAATATCAGACTTCCAGAAAATGCTCACAACAAACCCTGTCACCCCAGGAAAACATCTGGAATATTATGAAGGAGAAATTTATCTCCAGCCTTGGTGTTGTGCACCTCTGGGCTACCTGTGCCCAGCAACACGGCATGAAACCCACATTTCAGCTTCTTCCTCCTCCTTTTTCCTTATCTCTTTTGGCTTCTCTCATTCCAGCATCCTTTCCTGCAGGAGCTTACAGCTCCCTGAAGAGCAGGACCCAGCCTCTTGCAGAGCCCAGCATCCACACCACAGACTTTTGCTCTGTTTCCCAGGAGAAGACTTGAGTACCTAAATCCACCATGAGAAGACGCCCAAGTGCAGTGTAGAACGTAGTCCGACATCTCATGTCAGTCAGGTTGGACTGATTGTTAATGCCCAGGAAGGAAAAGTGCTCACTCTGCAAGAGGAAGAGAAGAAATGGGTTAAAGGGGAACCACTACCTTGAACAGGGTCCTGTGTGGAGGGCTGAGGAGCCCTCGTTCTCCTGGCTAAAGGAGGAGAAGCAGTGAGCTGCAGGGTGATCTCGCTCCTTGCTTCCCATCTGCCAGCCAACCTGGAGAAGAGGCCACCAGAGGGCAACAGGCACTGAGCCCACAGCCCTGGAGCAAGGTATCAGCACAATCATCTTTCATCTTGCAATTCCCCAGCAGCAGAGAGCAAGGAAGTCTTGCTTTGCCTCCAGAGCAAAGGAGCAACCTGCCTCCCTGACTCCTGGGGACCCTCAGGCATTAGAGTTGCTGGAAACCAGCCCTCTGCAGACACATCCCCAGTGACTCTGCCCGTGTTCTCCACAGAAACAGTAGCCCCAGACAACAAATCTTCTGGGCCAAACACAGAAGAGGGGACTGCAAGCAAAACAGCCCCAAGCTCCACCAACAGAGCACCTGCTCCAACCCCCCACTGCAGACCTGCTGGGCGTGGTGCTGGGGCTCCTATCTCTCCAGCATCTCAGCATCAAATGACCACGGGCTCCCAGGAGCCAGGCAGAAACTGGATCCTTCCCCCCCAGGGCCTCTGGTTGCTCATTCCAGCATTTTTTTCATTTCAAGGCAGTGCCCCAGATCTGCACTGGGAGCACCACAGTGACCAAGGAGCAAGGCTGCTGCCCTGAGTGCTGCAAGCGATGGCACTTCTCCCACATCAGCACTTTTCTGCTGTTATATTTTGCTTTAAATTGCATAAACAGTGCTGGCTGCCTGCATGTGCAGCAGCATCAGCCATCTCCTGCATTTTGCTCTTTCAGTGGAGAGTAAAGAGACCCCCACCTTAACCCTCTAGGGATGGAAGGTACCACATAACCACAGCCCCTCCAAACTGAAGGGAAAGCTTTGAACAAAGAGACATGGAACACAGATCACATTTTCCAGAGGCTCCTCTAGGAAAGCATCTGGGAGCCAGGTGAACTTCAGTCGTGTGTCGAGGTGTTAAAATGAGGGGGTTATGTTGGCTGAAAAAAGGCAGCCAGAGGAGTCTGCTGTGAGCCAAGAGGCAGGAGGAGAAAGGAAGGGCCTTACCGTGTGATTGTTCAGCATGAACTGGACAGCACTGAGCTTCACCAGCTTCCTAACGCTGCTGTACGTAGAGGGGGTGTTAAGGAAGCTGCAGAGTCAGCAGAAAGCTCCTTGCAACGCTCACAAAGCACTTTCCAAGGCAAAACTGGAAGGGGACTTAGGTCTGAATTATTCACTACGTTCAGGCCTCTGTTTCAAGAGCAACCAAACAGTATAAATCTCTGCTTTAGAGACCTCCAGTGACCCTTTTTTGATGGTTGGACTTGATGATCTTCGAGGTCTTTTCCAACCTTAATGATTCTATGATTTTTATTTACTCTGTCAGGAAGAACAAGATGAAGACTAAACCAGACTGTGACTGTAAACAAATTAACTGTGGACAAGCTGCAAGGTAATTATGATAAAAACCCCTCCTACAATCTTAGGGCCATCTACTGCAATTCACCAGCTGGATGAGATGTTGACCAAGCCCTTGCACTCTGCTCTTCTCACCCCCCCCAAAGATGAAGCAGTTGAAGAATGCTGCAGGCAGAGTGCTCCTGGTTCCATCCGAGCCTCTGGGTCGCTCTTCCCCCACGCTGAGCTTTAAGTGTCCTGCACACCCCAAGAGCTCTTCTGCAAAGGATATCCAATGGAGAGGTCATTGAGCAGCTGCAGGGTCTTGGAGGTGATAGGCTCACACCGGCCCCAGTACTTCAAGTTGGTGATGCTAGGGGAGAGGACAACAAGGATGGGTCAGAGGCTTTGCTCAGCTCCCCCTTTGCTGTGCGGCGGGTTCTATCCAGTTCCAAAGTCACCCAACATCATCAGCTCCACCCTCCACCGAAACCACAGACATCACAAGCCACAAAAGATTGGTATAAAATTACTGTACTTACATTTGGTTGACTAGAAAATTATCCTTCAGATAATCTTCACTACTTGGGTCCCAAGCTACACTGGCCCATACCCAGGCCCTTGGAATTCTGTGGCACTCCAGGGCTGGTTTCTGCAGCAAGGGTAAGAGAATTCTGCGGCAGTGACTACATGCAGACGTATGCAATTCTGCACCTGCACCATCCACTGTCAGCTGCAGAATTCTAGTAGCCCTTGCTCCTTCCAGGAGAGCCAATTTCTCACCCCTCTGGGGTGATGTGCAGCCGGGGTAGGCAAAGCCCCAGGGCACCCAAAGAAGTCGAGGGGGAGCCAACGGCTGCGCGGCACTGGGGGTCAGCTCTGGAGCTACCAAAACGGTTCCAAAAGCTGCCCCAAGGCACTGCAAAAAGCCAACTCGACAGGTTTGGTCCAGAGGGGAGCTGCTGAGGAACAGGCCAAATCGTGGTGCCTCCCAGAAGGGGTGAGTTTTAAGAGGAGGATTTGTGCTACTCTGGGACTTGAACGGCACAATTTGCAAAAGAAAAACCTCTGACGGAGCAGTTCCCTCCCCATAGAGCTTTCGTGGCTGGTGATTGCCAAGAGTCAAGTGACAGGGCAACGAGGGCTTGAGGCTGTCCCCTCTCTGACTTTGGTTCTGCTAAGCAGGCACTGGAAAGAGAATCCATCATCCTGGCGCAGGGCTTATTTTTGTGTCTCCACGGTGGATAAATCAATCCTGGATACTGCACGTGACTTAAGCCCTGATCAAAGCCTGTAATTCTCTGGAGTAGCCAGATGTGACTAGTTTTAGACTGAACAACACTCCCTCGTATTGCAGTTTTCCTGGTTACACCTTCAAATAAACCCTGGGCTCTCTGATGCCTGCAGGCAGGATCACTTACATTTTTCCTATGAAGACGCTCAGGACCATGGTCTCATCATTCAGCCCCAGGACCTCTGAGAGACGGCGGTACAGCTGGAGGGGGAAAAAAACACAACACCACCATCACACCAACTCAAAAGCTGTCAAGATTATGGGTTTTTTTTGCTTGTTCTCCCTTCGTGGCACAGGCACCTGGCAGGGTGCATGCTCTGGGCTTGCCTAGGTCAGTCAAGCAGCACAGAGATGCTCGTGGCCTGATCCAGACCCACACTTGCCCTCATCACTGCTATCTCTTTTCTGTTGCTAGTCACAGTGTGTTCAGACACTGGACACAGAAGCCAAAGCACTTTTTTTTCCTACAGGCAGGGGACAGAACAACTTGTATTCCTTCACACACAGTGTCTGGTGTATTTATCTAGAACTCTAAGCTCTTTGTCACATCACTGCTCTGAAATCTATGGGGTGGGGAAGGAAGGTCGTTGGTTACTGGCAAGGAAGAGAACTTCATTCTGGAGGAATGATGCTCCCATCCTTTAGGGTTTCTTTATTTTAACTTTAAAAAAAGGTATCTCTGAAGAGGCACCAAAGCATTCAGAGTCCAATACATCTACAACTGCCTGGTGATGAGGAGAAGGGGTCTCTCCTCACTTTAGAGCCAAGGAAGCAAGGCACTGGTGCCAAGCTCAGGTTCCTCACGGGTGCCCAAGGTGGTGCGACTGGCACACGTCCACTGGGACATGGGCTTAAGGGACTCATCTGAAGTCACAGCAGAAACCTGGCAGATCAAACTGAACCCAGGCCTCCAGTTTTAGGCTACAGTCAGTCACTGGCTCCTCCCTGACACACAGAGGACACAGTATTTCAAAAACAGCTCCTGGTTTGCCAAGTAAACATCGGACATGTGCTGAGGAAACCCAGCAGACGGGTCTCTCAAGCAGAGAGAAAATAAGTCGTGCTCCTTTCTTTCACTGAAGGGAAGCCATTGCTGGATTTGGTACCCCCAAAACGCCACAGCCAAGGGGACTGATTACCTTGGAAGACTTCTGCACCTGATCTCCAATATAGATCTTGCGGAACTGCTCGAAGAAGCTCAGCATGGCCAGCTCCAGCTTCTCATTGCCAGCCTGCGCCAGGCGCGAGTCCGTCAGGTTCATCAGCTGCAGCACTCTGGGGAGAGGTGGGGAAACCACACCTTGGTGAGGGACACGGGGAGGAACTGGGCTTTCCTGGCTCCTGGGGCTGCTCCCAGGCTGGGCGTTGTGGGTTTGGGGCAAGGACTGACAGAACTGATCATCAAACGCTGACTAGAGGGTGTTCCTCTGCTGTGCAAGGCCACTGTGGGGCTTCTAGAGCCTTTCTAACAAGGGTGTGAGGCCTTGGGTTTTAATTTGGGGCAGAAGTGAGTTTTGGGTGCTTTAGCACACTTACCCCATTACTGGTCCACCATGTTCTCCAACCCACCTGAGAAACCACTACCTGCTCCCCTCAAGAGCCAGGCTCTAAGCAAGACTCCCACTTCAGCCTGTTCTTTTTTTGGTGAGAGTCCTGCAGAAACAAGGCTGTGACTTGTGCAGGGGCTCAACGAGCAGATCCCACTGAGGGGTTGTAGGGCAAGTAACACACACGTGCAGAACTGGCATGGGGAAAAAGCAACACCATTTCTTTTTGGCCAGTGCCACAAAGCACAGAGAGGGGAAGCAGATAGAATCAGACTTCTGTGAGCAGGTATGGTGGCACTAAAGGTAGGTGAAATATAGATGGGGTGTCACCACTTCCCCTTCAGTAACTCAACAGCTCCAGGGGAAGCCAGTGCTTGATGCTACCCACTGGCTCCCAACAGGCCACCTCCCAGCTTAGCTCCTTTACTGGCTTCCAAGCAGAGCAGTTACGCTCTGGACCAAAGGTGTTCATCGTGCCTGAGGTTCTCCAGGACCTGTAAGCTGCATGTTCTCACATCTGTCAAATAAAGCTTGCACTGGAGAGGATTTACAACCCCAAAAACCCAGCACGGGTTAGATGACTATCAAGTTTTAACAGCTAGAGAACTACAGTATTCACAGCATATTTATGGACAAAGCCCACTTTGGATTAGGAACCAGGAAAAAGGCTTTTCCCCCCCCACCCCAGCACAGAACCAGCATGCATTTAGTTTTACACCAATGCATGCATTCAGGCCTGGTATAACTCCCCTCTTAGATGCTCTCCCCCTCTCCTTCTCTTTCTTACAACCCAACATTTCCCAATTTAGTCCCCGCCAATCCCTCAGGATGGCCAACTCCAGGCTGTTCATTTTTTGGGTAATTTAGTCCGAAGAACATGGTGAAGAACATGGTGAAGAGCTTCAGGACAGCAAGTCCTCAGAGTCAGCATCCCTACCGACAAACCAGCTCTCCATCCATGGCGTCCTGCTCGTCGGTGCTGGCGAAGGAGACCCTGCCCCCGATCACCGCCCCGATGATGTACACCAGCCAGGTCAGGCGCCCTGCAACCAACACAGGGCATCACAACCAAGCAAGGCACGTGGCACGGGGAGAAAGTTGGCATCTGCATTTCGTTTTGGCCCAGGATTGACTCCACGAGGAGTGTTGCTCTGCTCTGGTGATGCTCTGTTCCCAAATCACTCTGTTTTCCAGCTGGTGGGGAACAGGCACGACTTCGTTGGGAAAGGAGTGAGAATGTCAGGTCTGCCTGGGAGATTTTAATGATTTCAAGCTGTTTCCACTGCAGAAACTTCCTTGTTAAAGTGTATTTAAACATGTGCAGATGCCAGCAGGCAGCGTTTGTTCTTTCAAAGGACATGTGGCTGGTGGGGAAGTCAACACCAAGAACTAGGTGAGCATCAAAACTTTTCTCCTTCTGAGGGTTGCCCAGGGATGTGGCTGATGCCCCCATCTCTGGAATCCTTCCAGGGTGAGGTTGGCCAGGGCTCTGAGCAACCTGCTCTGGTTGCAGATGTCCCTGCTCCCTGCAGGGGGGTTGGAACTGGATGAGTTTTAAAGGTTCCTTCCAACCCAACTCAGTCTGTGAGTCTATATGGAGTTTTGCCCCACAGAAATATAAATGTATGGCTTTAGATCAGCCAATAGAGTTTCAGAAGGAAAAGGAACAGTTTCCATACCTGTGCTGGTGCACCCAGGAGAGGGGAAGGCAGCTACATGGTTAGAGAGGGGCATCATAGAGCTCCAAAGGAGCTGCTTCCTTACAGCCAGTGTTAAGCAATCCCTAAACCAACCAGCTGTTCAAGCACAAAACCTCCACGCTGAACCCACCCCAGGCTGTGGACATCCACCCTCCTCCAGTGGCACCAGCTGGAAACCCCATCCCCAGTTACTCCTCACCAACCACCAGCTGGAAGTTTCTGCCCTGAAGCCAGGGGGGAGGTTCCAATGAATGCCCCACATCCTATCTCAGACAAAAAACAGAGGGATGGGGCAGGTAGTGCTGACCACCTCTGAGCTTGTCTCTGAAAGACAGGGCAAGGAGATGCACTAAATGTCCCCAAAAAAGGGATGGAGTCAGTTTGTAGGACAGTGGTCTTCATCCAGCTCTGCTATGTGTGTTGGGTGTGCCTGTCCACAGCCAAAAATACCCTACACCACAAGGGCACCTCCCCAAGGGAATACCTGTGGGATCTGCCTCCCCGTTTACAGATTTCACTGGGCACTCAGGTTTCTGAAGTGGTACTTTGGGGAATGGGCAACCAAAGCCCACCAAACCTGCTCACCTTCCTGCACAGCAACGTCCATGGGGCTGGCAGTGGCACTCTGCAGCAGCTCCTGGTAGGACTGGGCTGACTGGTCGAAGAGCTGCACGAGCAGAGCACAGGTCTTCTCATACTCACACCGACCAATGGTGGACAGCTGATCGAGCTGCTGTTGCACAAGGCCAGTGTCATCCAGTGGATCCTCCAAACCATCCCTAAGCAGCAAGGAAATGGATTAGAAAAGAACTTAAAGTGCAGAGACAGCTTAAAACATTTCTGTCAGGCAGATGAAGCTCTCCTAGGCACAATTCCAATGGCTGAAGTCTCTGCCTCTGCTGTTGGTTGTGATGGAGAGCTCCACAGACATCATGGAATGCTTTTGGTTGGAAAAG